TTGCCTGCAGGGCTGTTTGCTACCCCGCCTTCCATGAGCCATTTCAGGAGCCAGCTTTTCCTCCCATCAGGGATGCTTCTCTCCTTTCATCTCCACCCCCCTTCCTCCCCTTGGCCTCTTCTGCTGGCTGATTATTCTGGATCCCGCTGACACAGGTGCTTTTTCACCAACCAATCCGGAAGCAGGCTCAGCTCAGCTAGCAGAGGCATTGCTCACCGCAGCTGTGAGTTAGAACCCAGGCTTTCTAAATCAGGAGGATCGAGCACAATTTGGGGTTGGGCTGAGAAAGCCTCACCTCCCCCTGCCTGGACTACCTTTGACTTCTGCCTGGGGTGAGGCATCTCTTCCCAAGCCAAAAAGTCAGTACTGGCCAATCATTGTTTATTTCAAGGAGCTGGATGTGTCTTAAACATGCCCACAGAGATTTGACATGAGATGGGGTGGGAGGGGGGTGCAAAAGGCAGGACCTGCTCACCCTCCCTTTCTTGCACAAGTGTTTATTGAGCAACTACTATACTATATAATATATGCTCTCTTGGGTGCTGAGACCAAAGCAGTGAACAAAGTAGACAAAAATCCCTGCTTGCATAGAGCTTACAGTCTAGTCGGGGAGACAAACTGTGAAAGAGATAAAGGAGAAAAATATAGCAGATGTTTGACTAGGGACAAAGACCAAGGGAAAGAATGAAGCAGGGAAAGGGGGTTGAAGGCCTCGCTGAGGAACAACAGATGCAAGGGCTCTGGGGCAGGAACCTCCTGGGGTGTCTGGGGAACCCGGAGGTGACCAGCGTGGTTGCAGCTGAGTGAACAGGGAGAATGGAGAAGATGAGAGCAGAGAGGTGATGGGGCAAGTCATGCAGGGCTCTGCTGGCTGCCAGGAGGGCTTGAATGTTCTTCTGAGTGAAATGGGAGCCGTGGGGAGGCAGTGACCACTTCGATGTGCATTAAGTCATAGTTTTCTTTTTGCTTATTAGTCTTATTCCAGCATTGCTCTTGTTTCATCACGATCTTGGGTTTCTTATCAGCCCCCTTGCCTGAGTGGTGGCAGAGGTCAGGACTGCTGAATTCTTCTCCTGGGGTCGGAATGTGGAGGAGAAAGCTTGGGGGAGAAAGAAAAGCCCACACTTCTTTTGGGATGACTCAGAGCCACAATTACCTGGGCTCCTCCTGCCCCTGAAATAGATCTAAAGCAGCACTTGCCGAACTTCGGTGTGCACACAGATCCTCTGAAGCTCCTGCTAAAAGGAAGTTTCTGACTCAGCGGCCGGCCTGGGGTCTGAGACTCTGCATTTCAGCAGGTGCTGCCTATGCTACTGGTCTTTGGACCACAAGGGTCTGAGGTCGATGTTGCAGGTTACCTTTTGGGGCATGTCTGTAGATATTGGCAGGGTCTGTGGGTGCACAGAGGCAGAGGTAGATGACATTTGATAGCCAGTGTGGCCATGTCTGACAAGAACTAAAAAACAGAAATAAGGGAGGAAGGGGCAGCCTTATTCCATTTGCCAGTATGCTGACTAAGCCTTCGTCGCCATACCCGGCGAGCTCTGGGTCTGAAATCCAGGCGACACTGTGCACCTGAAACCGTAATAATGCGGTCCATAAAAGTGCTGCTTGCTGTCGGCTCTCTGGGACGCTTCCTGGAACCTCAGCTCGAATCTGTTGCAGAGGAAGTCACATCCCAGCTGTTTAGGGGCAGAAGGCCAGGGGGCCGGAGGATTGAGAAGGCAGCTTAATGCAGAAGCAAGCAGAGAGCTAGTTGGCAGGGAGGGGAAGCGAAATCATCAGATTCAAATCATGATTTCAGAAGCCTCGGCAAGAGAAGGCCAGGGAAGGGCTTGGCGTTGCTTCTTTGTGTACAAATATTGTCTCTTATTTTCCAGGCTGCAGGGTGAGGCAGAATGGAGTATTTGTGCAACAGAGCCCAGCTTTGTTCTCTGTGCTCCTAATGACTGTCAGCTCGGAGGCAGGAAGCCAATCAGAGACGGTCGTCGGCAAGGCTGGCTTTTGTTGGCTCCCCAAATTGCCCTGAGTCTCAGATTTGCTTTTTAGAGTGTGCATGAGTGCAACTCAGCTGCTTTCAGCTGGAGGCAAGGGCTGGAGCTGGTGACAAAGAAGGCCTGGTTTTCTGACTTCCGTAGACTTTTACTCTCAGGTTTCCTATATCAGACTCTGTATTCCCACCTAGAAAGTGGGTATATGCCCCAATTCCTCCAGCCTGTAAATTCTCTTGGTTTCACGGAGCCTCCAAAATGCCAAACCTAACTGTCAGGCCCTAGGGGAGACTGAAGCCAATTAAGTTCCCAAGGGAGAAAGCTGAGAGGAGGGCAGCGGTTTAACATGGCCAAGCTCAGGACACGCTGTTTGATCCTTCTGCCCAGCTGTGGATTTCAGTGTTCCCAGGAGACAGTTGGCCATGTCTGGAGGCCACTTTTGGTTGTCATAAGTTTGGGTTATCAGAACTGGAGAGGAAGGGGTGCTACTTGCACCTAGTGGGTGGAAAACAGGGGTGCTGCTCAACACCCTAGAGTGCACAGGACGCGCCCACCCCAGAGAATGATCCGGCCCCAGATGTGAGGCTTGCCGAGGTTGGGAAACTTTGCTCCAGAGTAAGCAACACTTCGTGCTTTCTCCCCGTAGCATCCATTTCTTCACACCTAAACCTCCTTCTCAGAGCTTGCCAGCTCCATTTATTGAGGCTATTGGACGGGGAGATGCTTCTGCAAGTCAGACAGGAGGACAGGGGACATTCTCATTCACCAGCTGATCGGGGGACCAAGCCCTAAGGAGAACTGAGCAGGACAGACCCTTTCTAAGTGCAGGCTGCCCAGTGGGACTTCCCGGTGAGTTCCTGGCAGGCAGGGAGGAGCTTGCCTGGAGGGACCGCTGTTTCTGCAACTGCCTTTCCCTCCCTCAGGTCTTCAAAGGTCAGCTTCTCTGAAGCCAGCCCCAACTCCGCATTTTATTTTTTTATTGAGGTGAAATTCACAAAACAATATTAGCCATTTTAAAGTGACTACTTCGGTGGACTTGAGTTCATTCAACGTTGCTACCGCTATCACCTCTATCTAGTTACGAAACATTAAGCAGCCACTCCTGGCCCCCCCTCCCCCAGCCTCTGGCAACCAACCACCAGTCTGCTTTCCGATTCTGTGGATGTGCCCATTCTCGACATTTTATATCAGTCGAATTTATACTCTCTGTGGTCTTTTGTGTCTGGCTTCTTTCACTCAGCAAAATGTTTTAGAGGTTCATCCATATTGTAGCATGTGTCAGTGCTTCATTTTTATGGCTAATGTGCCATTTATGAACATATGACATCTTGTTTAGCAGTTCATTAATTGGTCGACATTTGGGTTGTTTCTACCTTTCGGTGATTATGAGTAGTGTGCTGCTGTGATGTACAAATACTTGTTTGAGTATCTGTTTCCCATTTCTTTTGTTCCTGTACTTAGGAGTGGAATTAGTGGATCGTACAGTAATTCTATGTACAACTTTTTGAGGGACCACCAAACTGTCTCCCACGCTGGCTACACCATTTTACATCACCACCAGCAATGCACAGCAGTTCCGATCTCTCACATCCTTGTCAGTACTTACTGTTTTCTGATTCTTGCATTCCTAGGGGGTGTGAAGTAGTATCTCATTGTGGTTTTTTGATAAACATTTCCCTAGTGGCTAATGATATTGAACATCTTTTTATATGCTTGTTGACTATTTGAATATCTACTTTGGATGAAATTTGGAGAAATGTCTATTCAAGCCCTTGGCCCATTTTTTTCCATTGGTTGTTTGTCTCTCTGTTGTTGAGCTGTGTTATTTATATATTCTGGACACTAGACCCTAATCAGAGATATGATTTGCCAGTATTTTCCTCCCATTCTGTTGTTTACCTTCTCGCTTTCTTGATAATCCTCTTTGGTGCAGTCCAGTTTATCAATTTTTTTCTTTTGTTGCACATGCTTTTGGTGCCATATCTGACCACCATATTTTATTTTTTTAATTTTTATTTTTTATTGCTGACACTGTTACAAATGTCCCCTATTTTTCTCTCTTTGCCCCTTCCCCCCCAGCCTCTACCCCCCAGTCCTTCACCACGCTGCTGTCTGTGTCTCTGGGCTATGCATATATGCATGTATGTTACTAGACTAATCTCTTCCAGTCCCTGCCCGCCACCCAGGCTGATCTCAGAGGGGGAAAGGGTGGGGGCGCTAAAAGAGATTAGCCTGACCACTGTATTTTAAATTGCAACCCACAACTTTCTTTCCTCCTTTTTCTTTCCCTTGCGCTCACGGACTATATAAAGTGGCTGTCTCACTCGCGTCTCTTCCCCCAGGGCAGAGTTTTTTTGCCTGTTTTACTCTCCGCTGTGTCCCCAATCCCCAGAATAAGGAGATTTCATATTTGTCCAATAAATGTTGGAGGTGAGACGGAGGAAAGATATCCACATTTTTCTTTTTTTTTAAAGATTTTATTTATTTTTAGAGAGGGGAAGGAAGGGAGAAAGAGATGGAGAGAAATATTAATGTGTGGTTGCCTCTCAATCGCCCCTTACTGGGGGTCTGGCCCACAACCCAGGCTTGTGCCCTGACTGGGAATTGAACCAGTGACCCTTTGGTTCACAGGCCGGCACTCAATCCACTGAGCCACACCAGCCAGGGCCACGTTTTTCTCACAGTCATCTGCTGGATCCCTAGGGCAGTGAACTTACTCTGTATGAGACTGTCATAGTGGACACATGTCATTATACATTTGCTTAAACCCATGGACTACTGAACACCAAGAGTGAGCCCTAACATAAACTATGGACTTTGACTTATGACGTGTAGGTTGATCAGTTGTAACAAATATACCATTCTTGGGCGGGGGGTGGAGGATATGGATAGTGGGAGAGGTTGTGCATGTGGGGGGACAGGGGGCTTATGGGAAATCTCTGTACCTTCTGCTCAATTTTGCTGTGAACCCAAACAAGCTGGAAAGATTTTTCCTTAATTGCACGATACTCCCTTTGAATACATGATTTTAGCCACCATCATAGCAAACTGCATCGTCCTCGCCCTGGAGCAACACCTACCTGACGATGACAAGACCCCCATGTCCGAACGGCTGGTAAGTGATACCTCTTCTACAGGTTTCTCCTTCCTTTGGGGCCAGACCAGTGTGGCAGTGGGAGTAGAGGGCAGATCTTGGTCTTCGAGCCAAAAGCTGGATCATGAGCCCCTTGTCTGGGGAGGCCTCAATTTCATGCACCCTGATAATCTGGGGAGAGAGATGCCCTCACTGCCCATTCCCCACCCTTGCTCCCCACCAGCCTGGCATCAACCGGGAGAGGGGTGGGTGAGAGTGGTCACACTGTCCATGAAAATGTCCCATTCAAACAAAATCCTTGTGAAAAACTTGGACCATACACCAAAACACCAAGAACAGGACAATGATCCCTCCCTCCCCCCGCCAATGAACCCAGCATCTGGATTCAACAGTTGTCAAGACTTTGCCTCATTCGTATTTTCTGTCCTTATTTACTATTGTGGTTTGTCTGTCTTGGCCAGTTTTTAAAGGCAAATCCCAGAAAAACATGTCAGTTTGTGGCCGTATACCTAAGTTTGCACTGCTAAAAATATGGACATTTTCTGAGGTCACCACAGTTTCATGTTCATACCCAAAACAATGAGCAGTGCTTCCCTGAGATCGTCTAAGACCCGGTCACTAATCACATTTCCGTGATTGTCTCGGAAGTGACTTCTTACAGTTGATTTGTCCAATACCCAAACATGGTCTAGATTTTGTTATGTCACTTAAGACTTTTCATCTAATCTAGAGCAATATATTCTCTCCTGTCATTGACTCATTGCAGAAACCAGTCCAGATGCCTTAAGGAGTGTCCTATGTTCTGATTTCTGCCTGGTGGCTTACTTAGGATGTCATTTAGCTTGTTTCTCCATCCCCTGTGTTTCCTTATACACGGATGTCAGCTCTGGGGGACAGTTGAAGTCCTCACTGAAATTTGCTCATTTGGTGAAACTCTGCAGAGCTGAAAACTACCATCAGGATCCTTCTTGATCGCCCTCAGTGCCCCCCCAACCCCAGTTCTGTGGGTCCCCTCCTGGCTTTCTGACAGTGCAATGGAGGAGACTTCTACCCTTTTTCACTTTTTAAGAACCAGTTGTAACAGTCCTAGGGTGGGGATGGGGGGTAAGAATCCACTGGTTTCTAATCCATACAGTATTGATGTTCTCATGATTTTCAACTTTTTTCCCAAATATTTTATTTATTTATTTTTAGAGGGGGAGAAAGAGAAACATCTCCCCTAGAGAGAAAGAGAGGGAGATGTGAGAGAAATACGTTGATAGGTTGCCTCTTGCACTCCCCCGCCCAGCTGGGGACCCGGCCTGCAACCCAAGCCCTGACTGGGAATGGAACTGGTGACCTTTAGGTTTGCAGGCCAGCACTCAATCCACTGAGCCACACCAGCCAGGGCAAGATTTTTAACTTTTAATAGTTATGCATTATAATTTGTATTCCAAAAAGATAGAACTAGCCTAGCAAAATTACGATTTCAAGACTTTTTCTTTTTTATTTTTGCTTGAAATGAAACTAAGTGAAAAGAGGCCATTGAAAGAACAGTCAGCAGATAGCAGTGCCTTGGCAAGCCCATAGCCGCCAAGTGAAGGCAGAATGCAAGTGATTGAAGCTTGAGAAACATTGTCATAACAGATGGGAAAAGGTCCACGTAGGGGCTCTGACGGAGTGGAGCTTATAGCTTCACTTCAGCTCCTAGAGACTATCCTCTGGGAGCCAAAAGTGGCTGGAGGTCCCGTGAGAGGCTGGGGGCGGAGGCCCTGGCCCTTGGCCAGCCAGCGCAGAAGTATTATTCCAGCATTTTAGCAACCTGGACATCTGTGCTGGTGCATACCAGCTGAGACGCATCATGAGGGTCAGATTGGGGGTGCGGCTGGTGCACAGGGTCCCCCCGCAAAGGCCTTGAGTGATGTGTACGACAGGTGAACAGCCTAGACCAGCATTTTCTGGTAGAATTTTCTGCAGTGATGGAAATGTCCTTTGTCTGCACTTTCTAATATGGAAGCCACTGGAAAGGCAGCTAGTGTGACTACGGAGCTGGATCTTTCATTTTATTCAAATTCATTTAGATTTATTCAGATGTAAGCAGCTACACGTGACTCGTGGTTGCTGTATTGAACAGCGCAGGTCCAGACAGTTCTACTCGGCCAAGTGGTTTATGAAGCTGACCAAAAGGAAAGAAGGAGGGTGTCTTCCCCTTGAGTCTGTTTCTCTTGAAAAAGGCTTCAGACAAGAGAACCCCAGGAAGGATGCGTTGGGGTCAGTGAGTGCTGGAGGGTGGCAAGAGGCTAGGGGAGGTGGGTACAAACCAGGTGGGCTGATCCCCGATGCTGCCGCCCTCTGCCCAGCCAGTAACCCTGACCTTGCCCTGTCTTCCTTCCAGGATGACACAGAACCGTACTTCATTGGAATTTTTTGTTTCGAGGCTGGCATTAAAATCATCGCCCTTGGATTTGCCTTCCACAAAGGCTCCTACTTGAGGAATGGTTGGAATGTGATGGACTTCGTGGTGGTGCTAACAGGGTAAGTGGAGAGTGCTGCATGTCCCAGAATTATCTTGAATTACAAGGACTTTCGAAACGCCATGTTTGGTGTGGTCCAGGCTGGGCTCAGGGAGGCTTAGCCCCCCTGTTCTCCTGCCTCCTTTCACCCCATCTCCAAACCTCAGCTGCATGTTACAGCGGATGCTTTCTGTTACAATTAGAGTAATAGCTTATTAGAGTCGACTGCTTCCAAAGTGCTTTATGTGCATTCTCTCATTTAATCCTCCCAACAACCCAATGAATTAGGAAATATTAATATTCCCATGTGACCACTGAGGAATCGGAAACACAGAGAGGAACTTGCCTGAGATCCCCCAGCTAGTAAGTGATAGGCCTAGGATTTGAAGCAGAGATTATGTGCTCCCAGAAGTCAAGTTTTTTACTGTCTTGTATGCATGGTCCTTTTGCTTTGCTTGGGGATGTCTTGCCCCTGTTTTAAATTGGTTAATGTTGTTGAGGACTTTTGGGTACAAGAGATTATGGTAGAACTGTGGAGAAAACCAGTCTAGATGAGGTGCAGTCACCGTCTTCAAGGAGTTTTCAGGTCTGTATACAGTGAACCATAGTTGAAAGGTGGATGTGTGTACACTTTCCATCAATGACCCTGTATAAGGTAATGTTAGCTCCTATAACAAAAAATTCAAAACTAGGTCATGATTTAAACACAACAGAAGTTTATTTCTCACTTATTTTAAGTCCAAAACAGCTGTCCCTCGTTGGCTGGCTTCTCTCCTCCGAACAATGATTGAGGGGCCCAGGCTCTCACTACATTGTGGTTCCTCATTATTAATCCTCAGCTTCTAAGAACTCAGTGCTTGCCTGCCTGGAAGGGGATGCTTGGGAGGCTTATGAGCGTGGATGGGACTTGGCACATATCCCAGTCTTATGCCTTTGGCTAGAAGTCAGTCACGTGTCCACACATCACTGCAAGGGGTGCTGGGAAATGTGAGACTGCATAGAAGGGAAGAGAAATGGATTTGGTGAATAGCCAGCCAGTCTTGGTCACAGACCCGAAGCCCTTTATCAGATCCCTGTGTGGACATTACTACTTTGTGTTGATTTCTGCCTCCTCTGCCCAAGCACTCCTCTCCCTTGAGCTAAGTGTCTGGCTCTTCTCTTCTAAGACCCCTCTTTGTTAGGAGGTCTTCCTTATGGTTCTCCTCTGTGGGGTCACAGTCCTCGGTGGGTTCCTATTTCTCTTCCAGGCTCTGTTGCTGTTCCAGGTGTTGTTTCTCTTGGCCGATGTCCTGGGTCTCAGCACTCATCCTGTGTGGGCCAGGCTCTCACTATTCAGGTTCTGAGGATGTGCGTTGTTCAGAGCCATGTTGCTTCTCACAGCAGGAGCCGTGTTATATGGGGCAGCTTCAGTAGAGCAGTCAGATGTGAGAGGTCTGTTTTGAGGATTCTGGGGTAGCTTGTAGCAGGTGAGTATTCCCTGAGGGATCTCTGTTGGCTGTGCCCACAGTCCTGTGGCTTGGGACCTTGGCCGATTCCAGAGATATGTCATGACATCGGGCACTTTTCTCTTAGCTTGCTCGGAGACTCGTCTGTAAAAAGTGGCTGACTTAGTTGTTTAAAAAATGTAAAATAAAAATAATCAGACATTCAAAAAGAAGTAGAGGATAATATGACAAATACCTGTGTATGCAAATATTCATTCAGTGACTATCTGGTGTACACCTACTGTGAGTCAGGCTCTAGGACACAGCAGTGAACAAAACAGACCAAAGTCTCTCCTCTTGTGGAGTGGGTATTCTAGTGGTGAAGAGAGGAAGGAAGGAAGGGAGGGAGGGAAGGAGGGAGGGAGGGAGGAAGAAAGGAAGGGAGAAATGTCTGATGTGCAGATGGTGGTGAGGACTACAGAGAAATAATAAATCAGCAAAGAATGGGATGTCTGTCGGGCAGAAGGGGTAGAAGCCAGGTAAGAGTTCATTGGGATGGTGATACTTGCATGAAAACCTGAAGTGGGTGAGTGAATGAGCCATGAGGATAGCCGAAGGAGGAGAGTGCCAGACAGAGGGAACAGCAGGTGCAAAGGCCCTGAGGCTGGACTGTGTTTGATGAACAGTGGAAGCCAGGGTGGCTGGAGCAGAGTGATGGAGGGAGAGAGCAGAGGAGGTTAGGGCAGGGAGGTGATGGAGCAACCATCAAAATGAACCTTTCTGGTACAGTGTCTCTGTGTTCCTTTTCTTTTGGCCCCACTCTTCTCGATTTCCCATCCAGAGGCACTTTACTGAATTTTGTTTATCATTTCCATGTATGCATTTATGTTTTTGTTATGTAAATATATAAGAAATGCATACATATGGTACTGTTTTGCATGCTGTAGGTTTCCCTGTAAATATTTTCTATAATCTGCCCCTTGCACTCAGCATGAGATTAATCTGACTGGCAAGACTAGATCTCATTCACCCATTTTACTACTACATAGTATTCGGCAGTATGAATATTCTACCAGGTATTTATCCACTGGGGTTGTTTCCAGCTTTGGGCTATTTTGAACCAAGCTGTCTCCTTGTTCTTGTGAGTGGATTTCTCTAGGGCGTATACCCAGGAGTGGAATTGCTGAGTCGCAAACCATACACATCTCCAGCTTCACTAGATACTGCCAAATTGCTCTGCAAAGTGGTTGTGCCAATTTATGTTCCCTGGGGGCTGACTTTTGCTGGCAGGGACTGGCTTGACCTTGCTGGCAGGGAGGAACCTTAAAAACCTCTGTTGTTTTTTTTATAACATGGTTCTTGAAACACCTAGGGAAGCTCATCTGCCGTTGAGCATGTAGTGGGTCTCACTAAGTGATCGGTACATTAAGAGGTAGCCATTCAGTGGGTCACTTTGCCAGTTGGATGTTTGTCTCTGCTCCTTGATTACAAGGTGGCCTTTTTTTCCCCCTAGTTTTACACATCTCTTGGGCCTCTAGAGGAGAAATTTTTCATCTGGGGCAAATACATCTTAAGCATGGAAGCCCATAGGTGTACCCATAAATCCTTTAAAATTGCATGCAAATTGTGTGTGTGTGTGTGTGTGTGTGTGTGTGTGTGTGTGTGTGTGTTGTGTTGTGTGTTTCTGGTCTTTAGTTTTCATTAGACTCTCAGGAGGTCCTGGTCCTAAAACCACAAGGAGTCACTATTGTAGGTTTCTATCCTTTCTTACCCTCTTCTTTCCTTCTTTCTTTTTCCTGCATTCTTTTCTCTTGCTTTTCTTGCTCTTATTTCTCCAGCAATCAGCCACCCTTCCTTATTGTCTGGTGGTTCTGTCTCCTTCAAAAACAGGCACATAGCTCAAATTTCATTACTTCAAATTCCAAGGGGCTGTTCAGTCTCCTGTTGGGTTATAAGCTAGGAACAGGGAGAGGAGACTAAAAGCTCTGCAGGCCTAGCCGTCTGCTCAGCGTCAGTGCCGGGGAAATGCAGTAAACTCTCAACTCCATGTTCCAGGGGGAGGGGACGCGAGTGTATTAATTTGACATTGAGACAAAGATGATTTTAACGAGTACTTTCTGTTTCATTGTCTTCTTATGTTTATAAGTGAATCACAGCGTTAAAACACCACTCATTTTTTCCATGAATTACCAAGTTTTTTGCCATATTCTTGTGTAAAGTTTGGTGGGAAAGATCTTACCCATGGATTTTTTTTTTTTTGGCTTGTGCTCAAGGCCTCAGAGAAATTCTTACTTTGTAATTTAATCAAACCCCTTTAAAGTGTTCTTTCATTGTATTTGAAGGACTGAATCGAACTGAAAATGTGTAAGAGCAATATTTCAGAAGGCTGGCTATATTTCTGAGATAACAGAACTTTTACTGTAATGCTCAAATATATGTAAACATCAGAGGGGTCAAATAATACAATTGTGCAAGAAAAGAGACTGAACATTGTCAGGGTAGGAATGAAAACAATTGTTTTTGTATTCATGGGCTTAGCAGCTTACCTGCTCTGTAAAATAAATGGTGGTTAAGCTGGAAAGTGCTAACCCTTCTGATCACCAGAGTGTCCTGGGAAAGTCGCCAAGCTGTTTAAGGAGGTGGGGACCATTGCGCTGATAGAGATAGTCAAGCATTCCAGACGGTTGTGACAGATACCCTGACATCAGCTAAGGCAGGGAGCATAGGAGCTCTGGGTCCTTGCCAACTCTGACCTTCTGTGATTCTGTAAAATCAAAGGTTCTTTTTTGGAAGGTCCCATGAAGTACCCCAGGCTTTGGGCAATTTTGTTGAGGATCAGCGTGAGGAAAGACCCAAGTATTTGGGGACCAGCAGAGGACACTGACTTTGGTTTCATAGAATCATTGAATTTTAGGGCTCAGTGGACTCCAGCAGGTCCAACCCTTTATTTCACCCACAAGGGGGTTCAGACCCCCAGGTGGGGGGAAATCGGGAATCCTCCAAATTCAGAATGTATGTTTACATCAGGGAGCCTATAATCCTGGTTGGCCGGGGCAGTGGGAATGGTGATGAATGCCACCCCTCGGGTTAAGCCACTAGAGCTTCCCTTCTCTTCCTTCTTCCTGTCCCCCAGCAACCCAGCCTGCGGCCCCTTTCCAGAGAGAAAGGAAAGGAGTCTCAGAGAGTAGGCCCAATACCCCCTTTTTTCTTACCTAGCTAACCTGAGGTCCAGAGGGCTCTAAATGACTTAACCAGAGTCAAACACTTCTCTGCCTCTCTTTCTGTTTTGATTAGTTGATCAAACACATGTAGTCAGTCCTCAGCTTCTCTTCCCTCCTTACCCTGCCAGGCAGCTGTTCCGAGTTGCCTGCAAATATAAACAGCTATCTGAACACAACAATAACAAAACACAACCAGTGTCCTAACTCACGAGACCAACTAGCAGCTCCTATAAATACCAGCTGCATTTTATTTTAACATCTCCCTGCATTAATTCCTCCCCCAGTGGATCAGTCACCTTGGATAACAAGAAGATTTCCCACTGTGGTACAAATGCTTTTTATCCTACAGAGAGTTTTATTATTGACAGAGCATCGGT